AATAAATAGTGTATATATATATATATATATATATATATAATAGGTTCAAAACTAAGTACAGTGAAGTGAAATAATAAGGCTGGAAATAGAAAATGACTTACACGTGACCACAAACAACAAATTAAGTCCCCTTAATTTAACTAATACAGGTTCAAATCAAACTCTTAAAATGGAATACAAAGTAAAATATAACTGAGTATAATATTGTAAAACTAAACTACCCTGAATAACCTTGGTTGTTCACTGAAACGTTCATGGCTATGGAAATTTTTTTAAATATTATCGATAATTAAACTAAATGAATATGTATACATACAAACATTAACAGGGATGCCACAAAGCTGTAAATGATCTCAATAGGCCTAATCTTCCCACCTGAACTCTTATAGAGTACCTCTTTGATCTTCTGTAGTGGCAGTTTTAAGTCAGTGGTTTTCTAACTTTTTAGATAGAGCATTCTTCCTTTTCTTTGATACTAGATGTCTCCACCCAGACACGAACACGTTCATATACCGGTAAAAAAATCCAATATGCCATTATCACTAAATATCAAAATTGGCGTGCACCACTAATTCAAATAGGTATGCATGTAAGTGTACATTAATGTAATATACTGCTTGCCTATTAGTGGGGAGGGTGCACCCATTTATTGGAGCAGAGCTATTACATCTGGGGGTTGATAAGCGACCTAAAACACTCCATGGAAAGGACTTTATCCAATAATATTAGAGACAAAAATACTCTAGCCAGACACGCAGCTCCATCTAGGATTTTTACATGCTAAGAGACATCAACAGTAAGATTTGCTTTACTTTATAAATGCAGACAGAAAGTTTGAAGTAATTTTATATTTTGCTCCCCTAAAGATATGTTCCGTATCCCCAGTTTGAGAACTAGTGATCTGGCTTTCTCTGGCCCAGAGCCAAGGCTCCCATCCATTTGATGGCCTGTATTTGGCTGTGGTGAAGCCATTACTCGATCGTAATATTGTCCATTGCTGTTGTAGAGTGGCAGATAGAATGGAAATGAGAGTCTTTAGCATGCTCCTTAAGCCTGTCACTGAAACTTGACCAGCAGCTTTACAAGTATTAGCTGTTTTAAACGAAATTAATCAAATGAGACATCAACGTATTAGCTGTTTCTCTTGACTGTGAAGGGGTCAAATATATTGCATAGCTACACTTCAACTATAGCTTTTTCTGTTATAAGTTTGATCGTAAATAAAACAAAACAATGCCATTCCATGCCTGCTCACTTTTAAATTGAAAGTTATGCTCATGTAGCCCTCACCGTTTAATCAATCTCTTGCACAAAATAAATGTCTAAAAAAATAGTAAGTAATATTTTTAAAACTCTAAGATAGTTCATTTCTTATTCTAGGTCAAATCTACTAGAAAAAACTATTTCTCTCTCTTTTATCCTGAAAAAGACAATAACAACAATGTCATTTATTCTGAAAAATCTACAAAATCTGTAGATGTTTCACTCATTCACTCTGAAAGGACACTTATCATCACCAAAGAAAACACTGGAATCACCATGTTTCTCACTTGGTATGGTGTACGTTATATAGCAACGTTCATGTCATTCAGTAAAATAGAATCACATACTTAAAATATTTTAGTTAAAAACTAAGCCAAACATATTCTTTACTATAATTAATTAATCAAATAAAGCACACGTCATGTTCATTTTTTAATGTTGTCTAAGCTACCTAATGTTGTCTTTACCGACTTCTAACGTCAAAAGCAGGTTTCGACACTTATGCTGGGTACAGCAGAAATAACCCATTGTATAGCTTTGTGCTTCACAACAAACAAACAATCTTTACAAACATAAAAATCTCAATATGCAAGTCAAATTATTTATATACTTGTTCAAAAATCGTGTTGTCTGTATGCTTAAATTTACGCACATAATACAACACGCTTGAACAAATACAATAAGGTGGAAAACTCAATTGTTCAGTAGTGCACGAAAATAATGCAATCAAGGGCAAAATTCAAAATCCTGTGAAAATGTACTTCAAACTACCTGGATCACATACCATGCATTTGACTACAGTATGTACTAATATACATACAATCAAATATCGGATATTACATGGAACAATAGTAAAAAACACAATCGTATCAGACTACCAACACCAAAAACAATACCATTTAACTTAGTATAGCCATCTTTGAGTCACGAAACCCATGACACCAAATTTACCAGAAACATAACTCTGAAAACATTTAGCAGAACAATAAACATTCCATCAATATTAATAAGAAATGATATCAGCAGAGAACAGTTCTCTCACTGCACACTAGGAAGATTAGTAGAGACCAACCAGAATTGAAAGTGTGATATTGCATGTTCAAGAAACAAATTCGTGGTCACAAACATGCAATACTTGTCACAAAGTCGCGTGGGAACACATATATTAACTTTCA